TATATAGTATGTTGCCAAGTTCAAGCACAGCCAAATAAATCACAGGAGGCACCAGTTCTGGGCTCTGTGCTATTGTTCTCCAGATGAGGTATAAATCATTTGCAGCAGCAGCAGCAGCTGTTTTTAGCACTGGTAAAGGCCTCTTGAGCTTTACTTCACCTTTTCTGCTCTCAGCCATGCAGGATGGTATATTTATAGAACAACAGCAGGAGTCCCCCTGCAAACAGGAGCAAAATGAAGCATGAAAGAAAAACATTAGGATTTCCTCAGAATAAAACAAATACATCAAAGGTGCAAATGGTCTTCTTGGGAAAAATGAAAACGTGGCACAAATGGTGTTGGTGCCAAGAGCAGGCAGTAATTAAGGCTGGAGGAGATAACCTATTGGGGATGCTAATTGTTCTGACAGATCACTCTGATGGGGCAGATGCTCCTTGACCATGAGTGTAAAACATGCCTCAGCACCACCAAAGGCAGCATCTGTTCAGCAGTTCTGGGAATGCTGTGCTGAAACACGGGGCTGTGCATGCCTATGACAGTGCCCCTGCACTTGGGGAAACACTAGATTCAGTAGAGCTGGGGAAGGTTCTAATTCACAACACTGATTTCTTCCGCAGTTGGAAATCCAATTAAGCTGTTGGCTTCCATGAGTTAATTCTGCATTACGTAATTATGAGCTAATAGAAAGCAATTTTCTCTGAAATGTTTTTTGTTCCTTGTTGTCCTGCCCCTTCTGAAAGACAGTCACATTTCTGCAGGTTGTGAAGTTCTAAAATCTTTTCACTGGTGGCTTGAGTAGAGGCAGGATTCATCCCACTTTTTTTTTGTCCACATTGTTCATTTTTAAATCCAGTCTTGTGTCTGAATAGTGTTTCTTTTCCATCCACAGTCTCCCAGGAGCAAGAGGCTGGATCTTGCCTATTCCTGCTCTGCCATGCAGATGTCTGTGCAGTTCCTCCTGGACCAGGAATAAAGCAGTGCACCTCCACAGTATCCATGAACAAGAGTGGCTTGAATGGAGAATCTCCTGGTATCCCAGTCCCAACCTCATGGTTCAATGAATATTCTGAATATTGTTAATTTTAGAACTTGAAGAGAGATTTGGCTGCTTGGCAGTATTTCAGCTCAGCTATAGTCACCACTTTTTTTGCAAGGAATTCTGTCAAGAGGTATTTTAATATCTGGATGAGATACACTTGTGGAAAATTACACAATACTTTTATGTTGTCTGCTGAAGTTTCCTTTTTTGGGAAATTTTGGAAAGTACCTCCTGGCATATTCTCCAGCCAAAATGTTTAGCTCAAAGGTATTTTACTTGTTTTTGGTAAGCTGGACATGTTAATGGGGTTCAGATCATCAGCATTCTGTGAACGGCTGACTCAGAGGTAATAACATCAGTTGAACTTCTGAAAAGTGCAATGACAAGTTTAATATTTTAACCCACTGTTCTGATGACAACAACCTTCCAAGTGAACATGGAGCTCTGCAAAATCATTTCTGTTGCTGTTATCTTCTTTTGGGAGGTCCAACACATCTGTTGACTTTGCTTAGAATGAAAGAGCCCTATGGTTAGGCACGTGCACTAGTGAGTGCTAAGATCAGAGCTCTAACAGTGTTATTAGAAAGTTCAGTGGGTAACATAATCCAAGAACTGGGGTAGAGCAATCCTGCTTGTCAGCAGCACCTTGCAGCATTCAGTGGAGTTCCTTCATTTTAATAAACAAATATCTACCTTCAGTTTCCTTTCTGTTACTGCCAACACACTCATGTCAGATAAAACAGCAACACATGTGGGTGGCAGTGATCTGATACCAAGCCTAAAAAGCCAGGACCACTTAGGTGTGCTCTTATTACCAAATGAAGTACGCTCCCTGTTGTATCTTTTGAAAAACCTGCTGCATGAGTAATTATGTCAATGACCTGGTGCCCAGCAGATGACATGTTGCATGAGTATTTATTGTGTACTCTGTGACTGTAGGACTATGTGCATGGAGAAAATATTTACATTCTCACTGTGCATGCATCTTCTCTGCCCTCCTTCTCACAGCAAGTGATGACACTGATGTCGCTGAGTGGATTTGCAGCAAGCCCTGTGTTGCATCCGGAGGGAGCATATTTCTTTTGCCCAGGGCTTGCAGATCTTAGAGCTGCTCAGCATCCAGCCCATGCAGCATCTTAGTCTGCCCGAGTGGCACAGCTCAGGGTCTGCTTCACTCACAAAATATCTGGCAGCAGAAACTCCTGGGAACATCTCAAGCAAATGCAGCACTATTGAGCAGCTCTATGGCCAGCTTGGTGAGGTGCTGACTGTACTGACCTTTATAAGTGGAAACATTTTCCTGATCATAGGATTGAGGCTTTCTTCTGTGAAGTCTCTAACATTGGGCTGAAGGTGCTGAAGCTCCAGCAGCAGCAAATGACAAATCCTCCCAAGCACCAGAGAACTGTGACACCCTTTCTGCAATCTATCCTTGTGCAGAAGCAGCAGAAGAAAATTGTTGCTCTGGATAACTCTCTTTGTGACAGCTGTCAGCAGCTGATAATAATGGATGTGTTATCAGAGTGGAACAGCACTTTACTGAATATTTCAAACCACAAACTTGAGGCTCAGTGATTTTGTTCCCTATAGGAACATAATGTTGCCACACACCTGCCTGCACCCAGCAGGACCTGAGGACCTTTCTCTGCAGAATAGTTTGCTGATGGTAGAGCACAAGTGGTGCTACAGGACGTAGCAGTGGGACAGGAGCCACCTTGTGTCCCCATGCATCCCCGTCCCACTACCATCAAGCTGCTCACATACAGACCCTTTCCAACATACAGCTCCTTCCTTTTTGCCTTTGTACTGGACCCAGTGGAACAATCCAATCTTTAAAAACCCTCCTCCCATTTGGTTTGATTTTGTTGGCAGCGGGGAGAAGGCAGGGGGAATGGCCTTGGCTGGTGTTTGCAACCACTGGGCTGGCATTCAGCAGATAGGCTGAACAAGAGAGGAAGGACTGGGACAGGAGGAGGGAAAAGAGCTGGGAAGAAGGAGAAATTGTGTGGATTGATAGAGCTGACCTGAGCCCAGGCAGACTGGGAGAAGGCGTGAGGGGCAGGCAGAGCTGCAGGGTTCTGACTTCTTCCCTTCCTGAGCCTCCAGCAGCTGTGCCTGGAGCCAGTTTCTGGTTGGCTCCTCCAACAATGTCATTGCTAGTTAAATACAATCACAAGGCTAGGTTATTGATTGTGACAACACCTCACCTTTGTCTGTATCTGCTTCAGACAAATTAAAAAAAAAAGCCTAATAAATTTTCCTAGGTTTCCTTTCCTGAGGCATCCTTTTAAGAGCTGGATGAAAGCTGTTTAGAGAACAGCAGATCCAGCCAGCGCTCAGCAATGTGGTCCTGCTGCGGTCCTGCTGCAATACTGTGGGCTCCCAGCAACTAACAGGGCTCAAGACTTAATTTATTTCAGTGAAGGTGGTGATTCTGGAAAACAAGGAGTGCAGGTTTCCTTGTTCCCATAGTTCATATAGCTCCTGCAGATTCTTCAGGGAAATCCCTGCTTACCTTCTCAGGCTCCTATCTCTGGGAGATCCCCTGTCTTCAAGATTCTTCTGGGCCTTGTCACATTAAGAAAATTAATGCCTCATATTTTAAAGAGAGATTCCCATATATTTTTTTTTTTCTGCTAATCAACTCATTTTTACTTTTTTTTTTTTTTTTTAATCTACACCCTCCTCTGTGAATTCATGCATCTAACATGAAGGTATTTCTCTCACATTTGTCTCACGTGGGAACTGTTTTCTTTCTTGGCCTTTTGTACATGTTATTGGAAGGGAGGTGAATCCTTCCTGGTAGGACACAGCCTCACCCACAGAATCCCCAGTTCCAACGCCTGTCCCTGCCTGCCTGCACAGCCTACAGCCAGGCAATCATGGTCAGGCCTGAAAGTCAGAAGTTGAGATAAGCAGCCCTTGTTTCCTGCCAGAGAGAAACTCATGACCAGGATGTGGAGACAAACATGGACACAGCTCCCACCACTCAGCACAGTCTGGTCCGTGCTGTGGGCTGGGTTGGGCCCTGGTAGCTACTTCTCCTGGCTCCCCAGATGGGAATGGAATATTTCTTTCCCCTTTTCTCATTTCCAGGCATCTCTGTGTCTCTTTCCAATTCCTCCTACAAACAGTGGAGGAGCTGCTACAAATATATGGAAAAGTACTTAATTACTCTTGAACAAACCACTCTGCCAACTGCTGCTAGTGCTGATTGCTACGCTGACCATGCTGTCTTTGCTTGCTCTTCCCTTTCGCCCATCTGTGACCATTGCTCCTGCCCAGGCTGCAGACTCTGGGGTTGCTGTGTCCCATGGCACTGTCTGTACAGCACCTGGCACTTGTCCACTCCTGGAGGATGGTGGGCTGGGTGCTCAGCCCTCACTCTCCTGCTGCTGGGTGCCCTGGTTCTATTACTGGGTATCACACGACCATTGCTGGGTGTTCCAGGGGTACAGGTGTACATCCAAAGCCAGTGCTGCATTCTGATACCATCAGCAGCATCCCAGGGCCATGCCCAGGTGTTCCTATACCCCTGGAACACCTCAGATTTTCTGGAGCCATTACTGTGCATCCCAGAACAATGCCTGCATATTCTGAGGCCATCCCTGTATTCCTGGACCATGTCCAGGCATCCTAAGGCCAGTAGTCCCATGGTCATCACTGGTGCTTGGATGCCTTCATCGTTTGTCCCAGAACCTCACTAGAATGCCCCAAGACCATTACTGTCTGCCTCAAGGCCAGCTCTGGCATCCTGAGGCCACCGCTGAGCGTCCCAGCATCGTGCTCGCGTATCGTGGGGCTCCTACGGACTGTCCCAGGGCCACCACTGTTTCCCGGGGGAAGCTATTGGTGGGTACCGAGCGAGGGGCGGACGGCGCACGTCGTCCCTTGCCGAGGAACCCTCCCAGCAGCACACTCTGCAGCGGGGGCCGGAGTTTGCAGCCGGTCCTCGCCCCGCCCCGCCCCGCCCCGCGCCGCTGTGGCTCCTTCATGCGGCAGCGCTGGGCGCGGGCGGAGGCTTGGAGCGGCTGCGGTGCAGCGCTTCCCGCCGGGCCTCGGCGCATGTGAGCGGTAGGGCGGCGGCACATTGGCCATGCGGTGGCCCCGCGGCCCCCGCGGTGCCTGGCGGCTGCTGCCCCGGCGCTCGCTACTGGCCGTGCTCTTCCTTTTCTCGCTCTCTTCCTCCTTCCTCTACTTCGTCTATGTGGCGCCGGGCATCGGTAAGTGGTGGAGCCGAAGTGCTTCTCCGTTCGAAATGCTGAGTAATGCGGAACGGCTGCTGCAGCATTCCTCGAGGCCCGGAGCGGGGTGCGGTGCTCTTGGTACCCCGCTCTGCGCTGCTCCGGCGCCGGGCTCCGCGCCCCCGCTTGCCGCTGGCGTTGGAAAAAGCCCGGATCGGGGAGGGGTTCCCCCCGGATCGCGTTGGATGTGTGCGTGAGAGCGGGCTCGTTCTTCCGCCGTGGGCACGCGCGGCCGTTCCCGTGACTCACGGGCGGTGCGGGCCGGGGCTGGTTGCCCTGGGCTGGTGGACGGAGCCCGATCCGAGCGTGCTCATCTCCTTGAAGCTGGGAAGATAGCCCCAAGCCCACCGGTTGCCTCATAGTTGGGAAGAGGCTGTATGTTAGACTTCCGAGTTCGCGATCAAAACTCTCCCTACTTTTTTCTCTTCTTTTTTTCTTTTCTTTTTTTTTTCTTTTTTTTTTTTTTTGTAAAACAGAAAGATGAGAGTTATGTATTTTGGAAGGATAGGTACTCGTCGCTGTTTTTCTGTATACAGTACTTGAAGGGTGGATGGAACGGCTGCCTACTGAAATGGCCAGCACCGCGCGCCGCTGCCTGCAGGACTGCCCGTTCGTGGGGGGCGGGGCTACTTGATGTCTGGGAAAGCAACTGTTGTGTTTGCACTGTGTATCGCGTTTCTGCGAGAAGCCAAGGCTCACGGTCAGCGTGGCCTTCAACTCAGCGTTTAGTAACGATTCTTTTGAAAGGGTCTTTATTTTAAAAGAAATAAAAATCCTGCAAGTGGAATTTTCTCCTTGAAATGTCATTGATATTGCTCGTGCCATCCTGACTTCCAATGTTACTGGGAGACCCATGCATGCTTTTCAATGTGGCTTATGTGGGTTATTTAGAGAGCATGTCCCACTGGTGCCCCTGGGCTCTGGGAGCCTTTTGCAGGGCACAGTGGGGTGCTGTTAGTATGTGAAGTATGTGAGCAGGAGATGCTTGTTCTCAGCATGACCTGACTGGGACCACTATCCCAGGCCCGAGGCTTGGTGGCCCAGGGCTTTGCTGACCTTATGCACTGGCAGCTGTCAAGTGGATTGGCCTTAGAGTGGTCAAATGACTCTCATGCATCTGATTGAGGACGTTATTGTACAGGTGCTGACATGTGCCCCTGCTCCGAGTGCTGCTTGGTGCTTCTGTGGCCGTGCTGCCAGTGCTAGCTGTATCAGATGCATCCCATGGTCCTGTGCAGGGCACACAGATGTCTCTCCTGAGAGCTGTGGTGTTATGTTGTCTCACCCACTTTGTACTGTTCTGATTGAGCAGTGTTCCTGGAGATGCCATAGGGTATAAAATTTGGTGTAAAACCAGCTGTCTTCTCAGAGATTTTCCCTGCTTGGACCTCAGCTAACACAGTCACATTCCACCCTGTGCTTTCATCATCTGAGATGCTAAGAGATGAAGTAGAGACGCGAAGGTGGTCCATGTGGATGTTAGTGCTGTTCTGACTCATCTATCTCCCTGTCAGGTGGCAGAAGATCTGGTTCCTGTTTGTTCCTCTCCCCGCACCCCAATCCAACTTTCAGCAACAATCAGTTGTGAGAGTTTAGACCAGTGTTCCTGGGGCAGTTGTGCTCATCATCCTGCTTCTTTTGCAGGCAGTTTGATTTTTAGGCCAATATGGTAAAGAGAACTTGAAAGAAAAGCTATTTTTCCTCATAAAGTGTGAGCAGTGCTGCAGACCTCAATAAACTGAGCAAAGTGTGTATGACGAGGGAAGTGCCAGACATGGTATGAGGTTAGCCTTGGGATGGCTGTCTGCAGAGAGCCCAGTGCAGGCTGACAAGTGATTAATCCCACTTCTTGGTCATACCTTAGTTTAAAAAAATAAAAAGCCCAAATAAATGGGACCTGAAGCTGTGTATGACTTTGAACCAGCCTTAAGGGTCTTTAATCTGTTGTTCTAAGATTAAAGCTATGAAAAAAGTGCTCCTACAGCAAACCTTGGTTTGTGGAAGAGCAGGAGGATCTGAGGGGCTTTCAGCTGAGGGCAGTCTGTCCTAGGGCCAGGTGGGGACTAGTGGCTGTGATGGATGTGCAGGGTATCTTTGTGTGAGGACACAGTCACCTTGGCAGAGAGCAGAGGTGTCTATAAGATCTGGTGCAGGCTCTGGATGGGGATGATTTGGGAGAAAATGCTGTGGGGTTGCTGAGGTTTGTGTTCGAGCACTTGTGTCCCAGTACCAGGAGAAAACTGGGACAGTTGCACTTCTGGGTGCTGTCTCAGCATATTGGTGAGGAGCTTGATGGAGGAGATGCTTGATGGCTGAAGAAGCAGTAAAATGGCTCTTTGTACTCTGCAGGTAAAGCCTGGCTCAGATGCCAGCAGATGCCACTTCCCCATCGGCACTACCTGGTGCAGTCCTGTGCCCCAGGCTGAGCAGCAGTGGCCTACCCTTGACTGCTTGAGTCTTTGCTGTGCACGATGGAAACATGAGGAAGAATTCTGTTTGAAATCATTGAGGGCATGAGTGGGAGAGCTCAGCATCTGTGGGCAGGAGCTACACTTGGCACCTCCTGGGAGCCTAAAGCTTTTGGGACTACTGTTTGTGTGTCTCTGGCTAATTTTGTGCCTGGGGTGTCTCCTCACTTACGTCCCTAAGCAAGGCTTTACCTATGAGGCTGAAATTTTTTGTCACCACAGATTTTTACAGAGCAATCCAATGTGTAAGCATTCAGCATCTCTTTCTTCACAAACAAGACAAATAGAACAAAAAATAGAACACAAAATGCTTGAGTGTTTCCTCCTTCAAGCTGCGCTGCAAGAACTTGTGTCCTTGGTTCTGGGCTTACAATGTCCCCTTAGGAAGCCATTGGGCACTGAGTGGCTTGCACAGAGGCAGCCAGGCCACCTTTTGCCCCACAGTGTTCCTTGGTGCCCACAGGCTTTAGTTCCTGGTGCAAATGGGGTTATTATGTGGGTCTGTCTCATCATGGCTGTTGCAAGCTCTGTGAGGCACCAGTTGTTCTGTTCTAGGTTGAGGCCAGGGCCAGGCAGAGCTGTTCCTGATGCAGTGGCCACGGGGCTGCTGCTGTGCCTCTGTCCCGTGAGGACTGGGGCCTGCTCATCATGCTGTTGCCTATCTGATGTGGAGGGCTGTAAGATGCATGGGGCTGGGAGCAGGCTTGGTTTTAGTTACGAGCAGTTGCACTGAAATAATCTTTGGAATAAGTAAGGCCTCCCTGAGACTTAACAGGGATCAGCCTGCTCCATAACTCTGCCTGCAGCCCAGAGGCTGGGCTGGAAGGATGCAGGTGCAAGTGGTGGCTGCCATACAGGCATCACCTCTAGAAGCTGCTTCTCCTTATTTGGGATTGATTAATTGAATTTGGGAGGCTTGTGCTCCTGGAGTTCATTCAGAGAGCTGCTGGTGCTTCAGAGAGCTGTGCTAAGAATCTCTGGGTGTCATGGCTTTTCATATCACAGTTGACCCATATGAATCTACTAAAGGTATCTTTCCTTGTTGTCCTTGTGCTTGTATAACAGGAACCAGCAAAGCAAGGAAATTCTGTATTACTACTTTCAGGTGCAAGACTCTTCCAAGATGTTTGTGCTTCTCTTTCATCTTGATAACTCACATCACCAGTAGGAACTTCTTAAACCATGCCCTTAATACCCTTTGCAGGTAGTCACCAGACGCCTGGGAAGAGGAAAGTCTGAAGCCTGGTGCATGGGTGGCTGCTTCTAATTTTTCCTTCTTCAGAAGTTGGGGCCTCTATTTTAATTTATTTATTAAAATCTTTTTGAGCTTGGGTCTGTACAGGTATCTTTCTTGCCCGAATCTCTTGTAGGAAAATAATGCAGAGTATTTAAATTGAGTGAAAGTTTGTTAACTTTGTAGGTAAGCTGTAATTCACTTGGGCTTTACTTCCTCCAAGCTTATCGGGAATTGCTCCAGACCTGTTGTACAGGGCACGAGTCAGTAGCATTGGGCCTGGATTAAATCTGTGATGCGAGAGTGGTTTTTATGATTAGTCACATTGCTTTTAAGTGCTATTCCTTTGCACTGCATTTTGGTGGCCAGCAGCATGATACCATGGAGAGCAAAGGCATAGCATTTCTGTACATCTTGCTTGGTAGAAATACCACTCTTGTACACTCAGTGGCTCCAAGGTGATATTTCATGCATCATCCTGGCAAACTGTCATACCTAATAGTAGTGCCAGGTGTGAACATAGCTAAATATTTTGCTACTGCTGATTTCTTGGAGCCAGCTTGACTCTGGGCTGGCTGCAGGATGCCATAGGTCTGCCATAGGCAAGGAGGAGTGGTGGCAGGTATGTCTCTGGGTCTGGGCAAATGGCTCTGCAGGGACATCTGCAGTGGTGACATGAGGATGAAGAGCTGCTTGTTCTGCCTGCTATGCATTTTTCATGGAAATGCTGGCAGAAGAAGCTGTGATCAGGCTCAACAGCTGCTGGAGGATGGATTTGATTTCTCTCCACTCTTGGGTTTCACTTGGAACCCTGCAGCAACAGGAAGGGCCATATGGTTCTCGGCTTGGCATGGCAGTTGAGAAAGAGATGAAGGTGTGGCCCTGTGGGGGGAAGTGAGGTTCGTGCTGTGGCAGTTCTGGCTACTACTTCCTTGGCCTTCCTGCATGGGGAAAGGCAGTGTGTTGCTGTGAGTGCTGGCCATGCTGCCTCCCTCACCCTGCTCTCCTATCCCTAAGAAATCTGTCTGGCAGAACTGTACAGCCTAAACCAGTTTCTTAAGGTGTTACACTAGAGCTTTCTGCGTGCATTGAACACAACAGCAGCTGCAAGTAGTAAGAAATTCTCCTGGACACTAGAGCTCAGCATCTCTGCATCTCCTGCATTCATTCAGTGAGAGGGAATAGCCCCTGTTTCATTGCTGGCAATGTCCAGGACAGGGCGTTTCTAAATGCATGTGCAGCCAGGAGGCTGTTGCAGCTTCAGTCTGTTGTCAGGG